CTGTTCGTACAGATTGAGAAATGGTCTGCATGCGAAGGACAGAAGGTGCGTCTCCAGGTAGGACTGCCGAACTCGGATGCAAAATATCTTGGGCTACTTTGACTGATGGGACCATGACCGGACACTGGACGATCCTGGTAAAGCAACAAGCTGGCCTTTGTGCCTGACTCTGGCCTCGGGGACCGGCATCTTACTTCCCTCTTCTCACCCCTACCCTGCTTCAAATTGCATCTGTTCCTTTTCTCCTCATCAAACATAACATAACCCATTCATAACCCCTCCCCCCACCGTCACACTCCCTTAGTACCTTGCCATTTTCCAATCTCCACAATTCTTCTGCACACAGACTATCTCCCTCCACCTTTTTCCGTCAAAGTAGACCCTAAAACACAACAGAATGTTGTTTGCTAAATCTGCTCGTAAACACCAACATACAGACAACGATTCTTCGAGGGCACTAAGTGCGAGTGCTTCTGGCGGCAATCGATAAAATCCATAAAATCCGTTAACAACAAGGCTGCTCTGCTGACGACGACAAACGGCTGGCTAGTCATGCAAGTAGCAGGAGCGGAGCGAAAAAAGAGAACCAGAAAGAGACAGGAGAAGACGAGGAAGAGAGTAGCGTCAGCAGTCGTAGTCGCATCACAGCACCTTGCAGCTGGACTCGTGCGCATCACATCCGATTCCTACATACACCATGCACACAAGAGCCGCTGCCCCTGCGCTATCCCGTTGGGGAACTAACTGGCAAAAGAAATACAGCAAGATCCAGCTGACCTCCCTTATACCGATGTTCGTGAACATTATCAGGCTTTCTTGTTCTAAGGTAGAGAGAACTAGAGATCCATTACATGCTAAGTTCGAAGTATCGAGGGCATTCTACTAATGTCTGGTGGATAGCAACCGTAGCTCAATACACTAACAACAACACTCCTGGTACTTGCAGCACAGCAACAACCTAACCTCACTTTTTTTTTGGAACATGATATCTATGTATGATTCCCCCCTCCCTCCGCTCCTTCCTAGCTGCCTGCCCTGGCCTGGTGAGCAAGCTTTCCAGCTCATTGCAGTTGTTTCTAAAGGGCGAACAAAGATCCTTGCCTCGACCAAAAACTAACAGTACATCATGTTTGCAATCATATCATTTTCTGATAAACCATGCATTATTCCAACCCACATCACCCCTCTTCCCCTGCCTCTCTTCCCCTGCCCCACCCCCCACTCACACCTCGCTGCCATTCACTGCACGATAGCTTCGACATCTGAGACACACATACATTTCTAAACTGGAAAAGCTCCATTCCAACAGTTGATGCTAAACTTGTCCTCTGCAAGCAAACATCCAGTGTGTCATCACCACCCACCCCGCACACACAGCGCACACAGGACACACACAGCACACACACACACACACACACACACACACACACACACACACACACACATGCACACACACACACACACACAGGACACACAGGACACACAGGACACACACAGCACACACACCACACACACGCACACACACACACACACACACATGCACACACATGCACACACGCGTACCCGCCCACGCCCAAACCAACCCTCCTGCATAAACGCGCACACATCATCTCACACACACACACACACCAAGCAGTGTACCGTTCGATACAACTGCGACACAGACAACGCACATAGACAGCAAGGGATAAACACATGCAAAATTTCGTCAGAATGATCTGAATGACAGGAATTTCAAAAGCCATAAAAAAAAAGGAAGGCGTAACTATGGGGCACTCACTACAAAACAGTTTGAAAATGCACTTCGGGCATTTGCCCAAACTCAACACCCCCCCTCGTGACCCTACAGGACCCGAAACCTAGCTCGTATACATTCGACATTTTCAGACCTTTTGCCTGAACTGCATATTTCAAACTCAAACCCTGACCGCGCCGTAGTTTTCTCAAAAAAGAAACCCACCCGCCTTGCTACCTGACAGGCGGCTGAATGATAAACACACAAGTAAACACTGATAAACAACAGAGTATGAGTTCAAATCCTGAGGGATATAACAGCGTTTGGGGCCAACCCCTAAATATTAAACCAAAAACCTAGGCTACACGAGTGGCCGGGGACCACTTGCCCGACCGTGAACTTCATTTTTATTTTAAAAATTAACAAGTGGACCCGCCGCGGCGAAGCCGCGGCCCATGGAGGCGGGGAGGAGAGTCACGGGGGGACGGAGGACGAGGGGTGGCATGTATCCTTCAGACGCCTGGTCTCCAGTTCCCTCATCTTACACCTCTTCTTCCCGGTTCGCCCAGGATCTTTTTTTTCCCGCCAATCCGTCGTCCTCCGCCGGCTCCTTTTCCTCCGCCTGCTCGACCTTCTTTTCCTTCGCCACCTTCTGCCACCTCCTCCACTTCGCACGCCGTCTTCCCCATCCTCCACTTGCTCCTCTCCATTACCCTCTCACTATCACCTCCTTTTCCCTCTCCTGCTCCTCTTCCTGTCCTTCATCCTCCACCATCTCCTGCTCCTTCTTGCCCTTGCCCTCCATTATCTCGTCCTTGTCGTCCCCCTCCTACGCCGCCAAGTCTCTCATAGCCAAAATGACCCTCTTCCCGTCATCTACCTGCTCGTCTTCTCCGTCATCCTCTCAGCACTTCCTCCTTCGCCTGCTTGTCAGCATGATCTGTTAGCATAATGTCATTTCCGCTTCTATAGAAATGAAATGATGCAGAGAAGATTAGCATCAGTGCTGCGTAAGACTGACACACATAAATCGGGGAGTTGTCCACATTATTGAAAAATCTCCTCTTCTGCCTCCTCTTCAGTCGTTTTCTCATCCTCTCACGTTCCCACGTCCGCCTTCCCTCCCGCACACAGCAGGCTCACCACAGGGACAAAAGACTCAAAATATGGCGACGTATCTCCCCATGTTGTAGCAGATGATTCGTTCTCATCTTGCACGTTCAGCGGGGGCCTTAACGCACAGCTGGCGGATGCGCTGTTTTTTTTTTTTTTTTTTTTTTTTTTGGGG